GGTGACAAACCTACAAGTGAGGAAGAGGAAACTACTAAAGGTGCCAAATCGAAAAAGAGGGGAAACCCTAGAGGTCGTGGTAAAAAGCCTCCAACGAAGAGAAAATCCGAAGAGAGTGATGATGACAGTGGTGGTAATGAAGATGGTAGCAGCGACGATGATGATAATGATGACGAAGATGCAAAAAAGAAACCTAGAAAGGCTAAAACTAATAATTACAAACGAGCAAAGACTTCCAATGCATCCAAGCAAGTAGTTAGCAATCAAAGTGGTAAAAAACCAAAGAAGACAGCAAAGTAGGTAGCTGAGAAGACATCACATATAGCTGTGGCAAACCCTTACCCAAGTTTCGGAAGAATGAAAGGGCTGGCGTTTTGTGCACTTTGTAAGAGGTATTTATGGCTCAGCCCTGTTCTTGTAACAACAGTAGGTCAATTCCGAATCTGTTTGCTGCCGCTCTGTCAATAGCTGCCTAATCTTATTGTTGCTTGATACTTTGAAGAATGGGATTTCATTCTCTGGTTGTATTAAGGTTTCTAAAGCAGTAAAATCCTATGCTTAGCTTAATTGCTGCTCATTTTGATCACATATTTTGATCTAAGGACATCAGGAAAGAAAAAGTATGGTATAATGTTTGAAAAAATTATAAATTATTCAAAACAATGCAAATGAGGTTTTTATCTTGTATTACATTTAATTAAGTTTTTATATGTTTTTATAATTAATGATTGATTAATTGTCATTAATTAAAATATTATTTATCATTTTATATTCATGCAGTATTGATATGAAAAGTGAAAAATATTATATTGTTGTGTCATCCATCACATTGGCATGTTAAGTAATAATTTATTATAACATGTCAACATATCATATTAGCGTTGTATGTTATAATGATAAGTAATGTTTTGATTAATAAAAATTAATCAATCATTACGGTTTATTTGGTTTAAAATAAATATATTAATGATTAATTGAATGTAATAAAAAAATAATAATTTATTTGAATTTTTAAAAATAGTTTAAGAGTTTTTTTAAGGTATTATGTTAAAAATGATAAATTGCTCTAACTAACAAGGGTAAAGAAAAAAAAAAAACTGCTCCCAACTTTACATTGTTGGCAACAATAGACTTGAGAAAGTAAAATAAAATCTCTACCGTGTGGAATTTTACAAATGAAAGGTTGCATCAAGCTGAACTTTTCAAAAAAAGGTTTGCAAGACAATTAGGCTTAGGCATTGCATCTTACCATCAAACAAAGTAATTCTGGAATTGCATATAAACACTTGCATGCATGTGGCCACTACTGATATTCGATTGATTCAGTCAGGAATTAGAGGAATCTTCTCAGAGCATCAACAACTTTCTCAGGCCTGTTAATTTGATCAATATCAAGGTCTTTATAGCATCAGAAAAATGAATAAAAATGCAGTACAAAAATACGCTGAAACATGGTTAATGTAATGAAGGGAGTACCAGTCCTCCTGTGGCATATGACCAGCTCCTTCTATTAGCTTAAGCTCAACTGAATTGGGGTTCCCTTTCTGAAACTCTTCTGCTATAGATTGAGGCAGATATTTGTCTGCTATTCCCCAAGCAATCAGAATTGGTTTATCCCATCTGAAGTTATCAATATGTGAGCATTGAAGGATAGTGAATATAGTAACAGGAAGACTGAATAAGAAGTGGGATCAGAATGCAATACCAATTTTATGTTATTTCAACTCTGAGTAACAACAAGAACTGCTACTCATTTATAAACAATAGTTCTTCCTAACTAAAAGGATATGAGTATGTTTTAGGTTGTAGGAAGGCAATCTGTTGGGTTATAGTTAAGTGCAAAGTTATGATACAGCTAATTGCATACTTGTCTGCAGAAAACAGATATCCTGCAATGTCTCACACCCCTAGAATTCACAAAAGAAAAAATAACCTTCCAAGATCAAGGGTTCATTTATTCTCTCTTAAATGAAAATTTTTATTATGGGTTTCACAACATTTAATAAGAAAAATGTAAGACAGCATTTCCTGCTTAAGACTTTATATGACAGATGCAGCATCCTATATCAGAAAGTAGCGGATGGAAGATACAGGAACACGGAGAAAGATGCTACAGACTATCCTGGACCATTCAATTAATCCTGGACTATCCTGGAACTGATATTTCATATGATCCAGCAGCCATATTAGCAAAGAAAAACCAGACACGGCTCAAATTGTAACAAAATATTATCAGTTTCTGCGTTATGAACATGAATCAGGAATAAGCAAATGCTGAAGCCAATCCAGGAAAGTGATATACCTTCCAGATGCAAACCCATCAGCTATTTGACTTGAGATGTCTCTAAAATTAATCTTTCTTGCAGCTTCGAGTAGTGCTGAAACACCATAATAGGTATCGAAACTTTTAAAGCTACAAGGAGCTAAGTTCCAGTCATATTCATTGTTAAAATCATACAAGCGGCAGCCATATCCCATTATTTGCATTAGTGGAATGTCTTTTAAATATGACCAACTTTCTACTATTAAAGAAATCTCATGAAAAAGCGCTCATACCCTAAGTTGGAAATCAGTTTGAAACGTGTTTTAAGAGTGACAAAGACTGTGAATCCTTTAACAGACGACTCCCTATAAGTATATCTATTTATCTTATGCTTTGATCAAAATCAATTGCATTGAAAATATTGCCTCCTTAAAGTGATAATAAGGTAGATAATTTAGAGAGAAAAGAATGGCCACTCACTTTCCCCATAAGCTTAGTTATCTATATGAAATGGATACTCGTACTACCTACCAGAAATATTTCATAAATGTCTACAGGTCCATAATATAAGGATGATATACGAACCAAAACCAGGTCCACTGCTTGACAAATATGGAAGACGATACACATCAGCCTTTTCCATCTTCAGCACATAACTGTCAAAGTCATTTGCTATTTTGTCAATAAAAATGTAATAACCCAAGTTCTGCTGCAAGATAATATATACACATATCTGAATCTCGTTACATGCTGTGGAAATAATCAAGAGAACAAATTGAAGTGGCTGCAAGTGGGAGAAGATGATCAAAATGAACCTGGGTTGTTAAATCATGTTAAAATGAACCATGTTTCTACCAGTGACAAAGAGTAACTTTGTTCAAGTTAAGTCAGCATGAAGTAAGAAGAGGAAGGCCTGGAATATCTGGGTAAGGGGAAAAATCAAGATTAATTGGGAAAGGTCATATTTATTGATGAATTCCAATACCACAAGAAGCTGGCATTAAGCAGCAAATAAATGTTAAACCTACTAACTCATAATCAGCACCAATTATAGCTTTAAGGTTTCAGTGCAGTGCTTCATTGTGAATTCCTTTGGAAGTTGTTATTATGCAAACTTTCCACTGTTAAGTGAAGAAAAAATTATGTTTCTCTGATAACTTAATTGATAGCTGTGTGGTTCTCAAGATTTGCAGCATTATATTTTCTCATATCCAAAGACATTTTTGCAGAAATTCCTTTAGCTCTCTGAAACAAGCAATGCTTAGAAGAATACCATTTTAATAAGCAAGCTTATGCATCCACAATGCATTATGACAAGAACTTGTGCTCAGTGACATGTCTTTTGTTCTATGAATAGAATTCTATGAAACTCACAAAAACAGTGTCATCATAAAGATATCGACTATGATTTCGTAAAACAATTTACTCTTTTCCCTCTGTTTTAAGTTTTCATAAATAGAGTAAACAAATGTTCCATCACACTTTAGGTTATCTCACTTATCTTATGGTGAACTGTAGCACTTATATGTGAAAATAAAACTACTTATAAATATAAAATGTTTCCTCACTTTTTAATGATCCAAATGTTATTATCAAACGCTTTTTCACTAATCTTTGATGGTTTATCGAATCTTGATTATCATAGGGAGCACTATGCACAAGTGAGTCATATTCATGATATAAGTAATGTAACCAATGGAGAGTTTAGCTGCTATGAAGGTAAATATCTAGACTATTCTTGCTTACTAAGATAATCATTTACAATATTATTACTTGAAGTATGCAAGTATAGGATCATTTTACTGGAAATTTAAAGCTCTGATCTAAAGAATTAATATTCTCAAAATACCAGATATTACTTTGGATACATACGGGCTACCTGCTTCAATAAAGCGCTCTGCCATGACAGCATTCTGAGAAGTAAATTCTCCAAAAAGAGGGATTCTGTGAGAAACAAAGAATGGGGAAATGAAAATGACAAACATAAATAAAGAATACAATGGAATATAACTAGAGCTTTTTTAAAAAAAAAAAGAAAAGAAAAGAACTGCAATGTCATCAACAATGTTAAAAATTATGGAGGAAAGGAAATTTGAACAGATAGAAGCAACCGACCAAAAATAAGTTACAAGACAAACATGTGAACTTGTTTGCTTCATAAGATAAATGGACTACCTCTTCCTCATTTTTAACTTGAGGTAACGGTTTTATATTTAGATTAACTGAATCAGATAGAATATGACTGACCAAAAAGAATAAAAGCATTTAAAATTAAATATGATGTTGCATAAGCCACAAAAGAGCAATTTCAATGTCTTATTCACAGAAGTAACAAGGAATATGGGAAAAGCAAAGAAATTTTTACATGTCAAGAGTACAAAAAGAGGAAAGACAGACTTAAATTGAACACAGTAATAAACCTATCCTGGATAACATACCAATTTCAGAAAAGAAAAAGATCACACGATAAATATTGCATTATATCCAGTACAACACACAATCATAGGCAATATGAAGAACTGATGTTAATCTGATATCTCTAAGTAATAACCAGTAAGTACAAATAAGTACCATAGCAGTAACTAAATTTAATTTGTTTTATGCAAGAACTGTCACCAACTTCATCCACCTCAGAATTGTCTGAGAAATATCTTATTCATCATGGAAAAAGATAAAGACTGTTTCCATGCTTCTTTTAATTCAAAAAAACCATTTTTATTGGTGTTCACCATTTACATAAGAGCAACTATTTAAATCCTGATCTACTAGACTTTTTGGCCAGATGTGCAATCAAGAATTGGCACTTTTTTTCCTTCAATTAACTGTAAAAATAAGCAATCATATGTGTTTCATGAAAGATTATGACTCTCAACATACATTAGCCATGGCATTGTAGACAGATGAAAATATATCAATTTCAGTACTATCTGAATGATGCGAGTAATTAATACAATGAATCGTAAGCAGTCATTATCTGTACAATGAGATCCAAACCTTAGTTTTTGGAATAGTCCAGGAATAGGAGATGAGACTGTTAATGGAGTATTCAGAATTGCTAGTTTGGAAATCTTGCTGGGATTTTTCAATGCCCATGTCAATCCATATGAACTTACAAGAAACCCCTTCAAGGAAGTACAAGAAGCATATTAGATATACTATAAGTCCCAGAAACATAGATCTAGGTATTGTTTTGTGAAACACTAGAAGAACATTTTACATGACAAGTAGAAAGATGTTTCATTGCAGATTGCAAGCATGTTGACACCAGTTTCGCAGATTGCTACATACAGATTTATTCTAACAGGCTAACAGCACTGTATAGCATGTCTTCTGCAAATATTTTCAAACCTGAACCACTAGAAAGAACGGAGACTCGACTCCCACGACATCCAGTAACTTATCAAGTTCCTCATGAAACTCCTTCTCTGTAACATTAAATATTTATCATTTCAGAAAATGATCTCACAAATCAAGAAAAGTATTCTAATATAGTAACTAGTTTTAACTTAATACTTTATATGTCCAAAAACCTGTGTAATCAAAGCCATATCCAGGCTGTGGTTTGTCACTGAAACCAAATCCTATCCAATCAGGTGCAAAGCAGTGGAAACCAGCATCTGACATCTATACAAAAGAAAACAGAAAGCTGAATTAGGCAGGGTCACTGTTTGTCTTTGTTCAAAATTATTGTCGGGTTTTATGTCTTGATTCTTAAGCATATTTGGTGTCTCTTATTTTTAAGCTTGATACTAAGATTTAAAGTTTGCCTAAAATTAGTATAATTAGTATAAAAATTATTATAAATTGGTTAAGTTTGATTGTATTCCGCTGCAACTATGGTTTGGTTTGCATTAAGGTCTAAATCATAACAATGGTCTTATGTAAAGTTGCTGCTTTCAATCATTTAAACAAACACAGGAAGATAGCTACCTGGATAAACTAATATACCCTTCTCGTTTGTGACAAAGAGGCAGTCAATGAGGAATACAAGTAATCAACTATACCAAGGGCTATTAATTTTCCTCTATGTAGATGATATATGTCCTACACCCTAAATTTCAGATATTCTCAAATTCTTGATTATGAAAGGAACTTTAAGACAACAACCAAATTAATGGGAAAAAAAACGACATTACAGTGAGTTAAGACAACCTGTGACATTACAACCCGATAGCTATAGGACTGTGTTGGAGCTCCATGAAGGAAGACAACTGTTCCACGTCGGCTTTGAGGGGACCCTACAGGGGACCAAAACGAATCAACAAGATTACTTTGAAACAATGAGCAATCCAAGGGATATGTATTCAATTTAGTGAAAACTTTTACCAGTTTCTCTCACAAACCATCTAAACTTTCCAGATTTGATGTACGACCCATACTCCTTTCCCTTGTCTTCAATCCTCTGGCATTTGGGTAAAGAAATTAACAAAAACAAAAGTTCGATCTGTGAATGAGATTTCATTCATTTCTTCACTGTAATTTTACTTACATAAAGCATTTGGCCGACATTGCCGTCCTCAGCAGGAGTTTCGGGGAGTTGAATGGCGCTGCGGCTGGAAGGGTTATCGGTGACGAACCCGAAGGGAATGAAGCCTTTGTCGTCTTTGCTTTTGTCATCGTTCTTCTCTGTAGCACTAGCTCTGGTGACCAATTTGGTGGCTCTTTGGCCGTTGATCAATGGTTTCTTGGCGGAGACTGAGAATTTTGGAAGGGTGAGAGGCTGAGGAGAGAGCAGAAGAGTCCCCGCCATTTTCTTCGCTTCGTTGCCACTGCTTCTAACTAACTAAACGTCCACCACCATTCTACTCTCTTTAATTTTTTTCAATAAATTAAGGACCAGAAAAATAAAAATAAAAAATTTATAATTAAATTAAAAATATGAACTTGTGATATTCGATGTAATAATATAATTATTATAGATCTCATATTATAATAAATATGATATTTTGACATTTTTTTATTTAATAAATATATAATTTGAATTAAAAATATAAATTTGTAATAAGTAATATCAAAATTTATTCAATTTTAAAATTTTTTATTAAAAATATTAAAATAGAAATAAATTTAAATATAAATTATCTTTTTTTCTTGTAATAATAACTTTATATAATTAAATTAAATAGAATGTCACAAATTCGTGTTAACACAATAACGTAATCACGTGAATCTAACACATCCACGACAGAACCACGGAATTCCTAGCTCCACCAGAAGGATTCACTTCAAAATCACAATAAGCCCCTGAACTTACCAATATTTACCAAAAGAGAACTCCACAAATGAAACACTCATGACTATTACTGCGTCTGCATCAACTCGGTAGGTAAATTCAGCAAAAGCAAAGGACCGAACCCCGCAAAATAACCCAAAGTGGAGTTCGAGGCTAGGGTAAAACTAACCTCTCATACTTTGACGCAAGGCTCCTCACCCTCACTCTAACCATGGCCGACGATAGCACGTTCTCTCCCAGCGACCACCAGGCCTTGTCTCCCTCTCCCGACCTCGACATCACGGTACGTTCCCCCTCTCGATCTCCCCTCCAATTCCTCCTTTGTCGTTTCCGATTCCCATGTTTCCCCCTGTGAGGTTATAATTCCTCCCTCCCCTGCATTTCTAGGGTTTTAGCTCCTGAATTTTAGCACGGAAACTCAATTGAATTTTTCATTTTGCTGTTCTTTTAATTAACATGAAATGAGCGTGTTTTACTAAGTTTCATGGAGGAATTCGGCCTCCCTCCAGTTTATTTGGAAATGCTCATACTATGTTTGCTTTTAGAGCACCATTAAATGTTCCATTTTTAATTATTAACTACAAGATTGTTAAAAGATGTGAATGGAGGGAGAGTTTGAAGAATTGTTACTAACTGTTAGGGGTCAAGGGTTGAATCCATCATTATAGGAAGGGAATGCCTGGTGCCTTACCTGATGAGAGAAAGTATTGATAACAACTTTTGTTTTGAAACAGACTGTACATCACCGGAATCATTTCTTATGCACTTGGACCTTATGGACCGGTTTTCTTTGCAAATGATTAGGAATCAGAGAAGGGCAATTAATATCAAATTTTTATGTTTTTTAAGCAGTAATATTGATAAGGACTGCTCTTTACTCTTAGAACATGTTTTATGCTAAAAACGGTAACAGGGGTAACTACGAAAAAGTAAGTGTTTTATTGTGTATTTGTTTGTTTGCTTTCCTAATTTTTAGTTGTAACAGTTCTTAAAGTTAAAATCCTAGAGGAAATATGTAGGAAAGAGTTGAAATTGCTGGGATTATGCATTATCTTTGTCTGCAAGTTGCTGGTTCATGTATCCTGCTTGTATGTTCTCTAAGTTGCAGTCATCCGATGATATTAATGGGTGGATTTTTCATTTCAGATTGAAGAAGGTTCTCAAAATAGTGAGCAGCTGTTTGAGGATGATGGCCATGAGCTTGAAATGGAAGGAAATGATCTTGAAATTGAAGGGAATGACATTGATATTGAGAGCAATGGCCTTGAGATAGAAGGAAATGGCCTTGACATTGAAAGCAATGGCCTTCAGGACTGTGACCAAATGCTTGAGATTGAAGACAATCATGAAAATGATGGGGATGATACAACTGCAGTTGCTGTTGAAAATGGCATATCTCAAGGAAAGGATTATCCACCACCAGTTGTAGGGATGGAATTTGAATCGTATGATGATGCTTATAATTATTATAACTGCTATGCTAAGGAATTAGGATTTGCAATCAGGGTGAAATCTTCGTGGACAAAGCGTAACAGCAAAGAGAAGCGTGGAGCTGTGCTCTGTTGTAACTGTGAGGGCTTCAAAACAATCAAAGAAGCTAACAGTCGTAGGAAGGAAACAAGAACTGGCTGTCTTGCAATGATAAGGTTGAGGTTAGTGGAATCTAATAGATGGAGAGTGGATGAAGTCAAACTGGAACACAATCACCTTTTCGACCATGAAAGAGCACAAAATTGTAAGTCACACAAGAAGATGGATGCTGTGGCCAAAAGGAAGGTGGAGCCAGCTGTGGATGTAGAAGTGCGGACAATCAAGTTATACCGTACACCTGTGGTTGATCCAGTGGGTTATGGAAGCTCGAACTCGCTTGAAGGCGAAATTAGTGATAATGTTGATCGTTCTAAGCGCTTGAAGCTTAAGAAAGGAGATTCCCAAATAATATATAATTATTTTAGCCGCATTCAGCTTGCTAATCCTAATTTTGTTTACTTGATGGATCTCAATGATGAAGGGTATCTAAGGAATGTGTTTTGGATAGATTCTAGGTCTAGGGCTGCATATGGTTACTTTGGTGATGTGGTCAAAATTGATACAACTTGCTTGTCAAACAAATATGAGATTCCTCTTGTGGCATTTGTTGGAGTAAATCATCATGGCCAGTCTATCTTGTTGGGCTGTGGTTTGCTTGCTGATGACACATTTGAAACATATGTTTGGCTATTTAGGGCATGGCTTACTTGTATGTCTGGTCGCCCTCCACAAACAATAATCACAGACCAGTGCAGGGCCATGCAAGGTGCAATTTCAGAGGTGTTTCCCAGGGCTCACCATCGACTGCATTTGTCACACATCATGCAAAGCATTCTTGAGAATTTGGGAGAGTTGCAGGAATCTGGTGTCTTCCAAATGATATTGAGTAGGATAGTCTATGACTCTCTAAAGGTGGATGAATTTGAAATGGGTTGGGATGATATGATTCGGCGGTTTGGAATTGTTGACCATGCATGGCTCCGTAGTCTGTATGAGGAAAGAGAGCGTTGGGCTCCGGTTTACCTTAAAGATACATTTTTTGCTGGAATGTGCAGTTTCCAGAGTGGTGAGTCCATGAGTTCATTTTTTGATGGTTATGTGCATAAGCAAACCTCTTTGGAAGAATTTTTTGACATGTATGAATTAATTTTGCAAAAGAAGCATAAAAGAGAAGCACTTGATGATCTTGAATCAGGAGATTCAGATCCCATGTTGAAAACAAGATGCTATTATGAAATACAGCTTTCAAAGTTGTATACTAATTCAATATTCAGGAGGTTCCAAGATGAGGTCGTGATGTTGACTTCGTGTTTTAGCATAACACAAGTTAATGCTAATGGACCAGTCATAACATACATGATTAAAGAACGTGAGGGTGAAGGAGATCAGAGGGATATGAGAAACTTTGAGGTCATGTACGATAAAGCTGGAATGGAAATCCGTTGCATATGCAGTTGCTTTAACTTCAATGGGTACCTTTGTCGACATGGTTTGTATGTCCTCAACTACAATGGTTTGGAGGAAATCCCTTTTCAGTATATCTTGTCGCGATGGAGGAAAGATTTTAAGCGGCTATACATACCAGATCTTGGATCCAATAATGTTGATATTACCAACCCAGTTCAGTGGTTTGATCATTTGTACAGACGCTCAATGCAAGTTGTTGAAGAAGGGATGAGATCCCAAGATCATTATATGGTTGCATGGCAAGCATTTAAAGAATCTCTGAATAAAGTTCGACTTGTAGCAGACAAGCATGTATAGTTATCAATCAATAGTTACATACATAATTCTTTGTAGCATCTCTTAATCTCTTTGCCTGTTTGTACACAGCCAAACTTCTTAGGTATACATCAAGCTATGTCTCTTCCCCAATCCTTCACCTTTACACCTTGATAATTAAAGTGAAATGCTGAAACCTTTTTATCTGGTTTTGGTTTTGATTTTGAGATAAACGTGAAATAGGTTGTTATGCTTGATAATTAACTAACTGTTGTTATTTTAAACGTCATTTCTCATTTGTCATTTCATTTTGCATGGTATTGATGTCATTTTATGTCATCGGATAATGATATATTATATAAATATGGTCATGTAATATTTTTACTTTTAACTTTTTACGTTAACATCACGTACAGATAAAATTAGTGTCGTAAATTATATATGTTGTTATTTAGTGTCATAAGGTATTTTTGTATTATCTCTGAATAAAATATACCTAGTAACAGACACCAAAAGCTCTTTTAAAATGAATAAATTTAATTTAGAAAATGTTCTGTCCTTCATATATGGGCTCTCAGTACTTCAAATAGGCCGATGAGCTTATAAAAATCTATTATACCCCAACCCAACTAACTTACCCTTTTTTGTGGTTACCCAAAGTGCCCTTTCTCTTTTCCGAACTTGACCGACCAGACCACTTGCTCGTCTTTCTTCTCGTTTCAAATCCACCATTTCCTGTGTTACTCCCCTTCCCCTTCTTCTCCAATTTGAGGCTCAGATCAGCAACAGAAGACCAGAACGACGACGTTCTCGCAGCACCCAGGTTAGCTGTACGTTGCCTCTTTGCTTTTTTTTCCTTTTACTCTCTTTTTAATTCGATTGGCATGCTCAATTTTTGACCTATGGTTTCTGTTAAGCGATAATAGTGTCCGTAATTTACTTAATGAACTAAATTTTGGTGTGGGTTCTTTTTATTTTCTCCATTTTGCCCTTCTTTCCGTCTTCCCTATAATTTTGGAGGCTTCTTAGATACCATGTTCGAAATGTGAGCTTTGTTTGTTTTTGTCTTAATATGCATAATAGATGGAAGAAGAAGAAGCTTCTCTTAGTAATGACCAATTGCCCGAAGGGAAATGCAACGGTGAGGCTCTAAAAGAAAGAGATAGTGGACCAATTGAATTAGATGGTCAAAATGGTTTACCTGAAGGAAAGAAAGAATTTGTTGCTCCAGCTGTTGGAATGGAGTTTGAATCTTATGATGATGCATATAATTATTATAATTGCTATGCAAAAGAAGCTGGTTTTTGTGTCAGGGTTAAGAATTCTTGGTTTAAGCGGAACAGTAGGGAGAAGTATGGTGCTGTACTTTGTTGTAGTAGCCAGGGTTTTAAAAGAGTCAAAGATGTTAACCGTCTTCGAAAGGAAACTAGAACTGGTTGTCCTGCTATGATAAGGATGAGAGTTATGGATTCGAAAAGATGGCGGGTGCTTGAGGTAACGCTTGAACATAATCACTTACTAGGTGCCAAGATTTATAAATCTATTAAGAAGATGGGCTCTGGAACGAAAAGGAAGTTGCAGTCGAGTTCTGATGCTGAAGTGCGAACAATCAAGTTGTATCGGGCATTAGTAATAGATGCTGGGGGTAATGGGAATCCAAATAGCAATGCAAGGGAAGTTAGGAATTTTTCCGAGCATCCAAATCAGCTCAATCTTAGAAAGGGTGATTCACAAGCCATTTATAACTACCTTTGCCGTATGCAGTTGACCAATCCTAACTTCTTTTACTTAATGGATTTGAATGATGAAGGGCATTTGAGGAATGTATTCTGGGTTGATTCACATTGTAGGGCATCTTGTGCCTACTTTGGCGATGTCATTTATATTGACAACACATGCTTGTCTAATAGATATGAGACTCCCCTTGTGGCACTTGTTGGAATAAATCATCATGGCCAAACTGTGTTAATGGGTTGTGGCCTGCTTGCAGGTGAGACATCAGAGTCTTATACTTGGTTGTTCAAAGCATGGCTTACATGCGTGTCAGGACAGTGTCCTCAAACCGTTATTACAGACAGATGCAAGGCTTTGCAGAATGCGATTGCAGAGGTCTTTCCAAAATCTAACCATCGATTCAGTTTGTCACACATAATGAAAAAAGGTCCGGAAAAATTGGGAGGATTGCGTAATTATGATGCAATCAGAAAGACATTTGTTAAGGCAGTTTATGAAACTCTGAAAGTGATTGAATTTGAAGCAGCATGGGGATTTATGGTCCAGCGTTTTGGTATCACTGACCATGAGTGGCTTCGATCTTTATACGAAGATCGAGCTCGGTGGGCTCCGGTTTACCTAAAGGATATATTTTTTGCTGGAATGTCTTCTTCAAGGCCAGGCGAGAATGTGAGTCCTTTTTTTGAAAAATATGTGCATAAACAAACTCCTGTGAAAGAATTTCTTGATAAGTATGAATTAGCATTGCAAAAGAAGCACAAGGAAGAAACTCTTGCTGATATTGAGTCAAGAAACTCCAGCCCCGCGTTGAGAACAAGATGTTCATTTGAGTTGCAACTCTCCAAATTGTACACCAGAGAAATATTCAAGAAGTTCCAATTTGAGGTGGAGGAGATGTATTCTTGTTTTAGTACAACACAGTTACATGTTGATGGGCCTATCATAATATTCTTGGTCAAGGAGCGAGTGTCGGATGAAGGAAATAGGAGGGAAATTAGGGACTACGAAGTACTTTATAATAGAACGGCCAGTGAGGTTAGATGCATTTGCAGTTGCTTTAACTTCTGTGGATATCTATGTCGGCATGCATTGTGTGTGCTTAACTTCAATGGTGTGGAGGAGATCCCTCCCAAGTACATTCTCTCACGATGGAAGAAGGATTACAAGCGCTTATATGTTCCAGATCAAGGTTTCAATAATGTTGATGTTGTTGATCGCATTCAATGGTTTAATCAGTTATATAGAAGTGCCTTGCAAGTTGTGGAGGAAGGGGCAATTTCTTTAGACCATTACAAAGTTGCATTGCAAGCTTTTGAAGAGTCATTGAATAGAGTTCATGAAGTAGAAGAAAAGCAAGAGTAGGAGACATTGTGAAGGTACAGGATTTTTTGTAAATAAAAAAATTGGTGTCTTGTGTCTTAATCCACCCACCTTATGTAGTTGAGGTTTAGTTCAATTGCTCCTTTTATGCAGAGCATTATCCTAAATGGTTTAGCATGTATATAATTTCTCATAAATTTGCATTATTAACCATATTCTAAAGGGTTTCCCACCCTCATTTATTCCTTAATAGACATTACTGTACAATTCTAATGAAGTTTTTCTTGGAAAAGAAAAAGGAACTCCATTATTGATCATGTGTGAGGGTTTAACAAGATGTATGTGTTAGTTTCTTTTACAATAAATGTGAAATTTTTATTTATAATTTAATAACAACAATTGATATATAATATAAAAATCAGAAACTCATCATAAGAAAATTACAGATCAAGATGTATATATTCAAAAATGATACAAGTCTTCAAGGGATTAAATTATAGGTCAAAGGTACAGGTACCTCAAAACCTCAAAACCTCAATGCATCACCTCCTCTAAAGGGAATCATGCCGATTTTATATGGATTCACATTTCTTCTTTTTTTTAAAAAAAATTATTTACTTTTCAAAAGTTATTAATTAATTTTGATAACCAACTAAATAGGAATTCCTATTTTTATAAACATATTAATAGATTTGGATCTGTTAGATCTAATCAAATCTAAAAAGATTTATATATAAAACTTAAAAGAAAAATATGTGTAACTTCGTTAAGATCTTCATAACTATGGGCTCAAGTCTCATGACTCATATTTTACTTGAAATTTTATTTAATTTAATATTATCATTTACTTTCTTAAATTAATTAAGAAATTTTATTTACAAATTACTTGCGATAATGTCCATTAATAAATTACAATTGACCTTTACAGATAAGAGAATTATCAATGAAGTCTCATTTATTACAATCATTATTAATCAGTTTTTCACCGTACCATTTTCCCTATGAGTTTTATAGATAAATAATTTTTATTGTCATATCCAATTCATGATTTTCATTCTTGTTGAACTTTGAAAAATATATATTTTTTAAACATTAATATATAATATTAATATAAATAATGTTATTCTAAAATACTTTTAGAAAATACACTAGTCGGATTTCTTATATTTAACAATCTTATGAAAATCGCTTGAATATATTTTTCGAAAGAGAATGGTGAATCCTTTATTAAGGGTCTAATATAATTTATTTAGTATGTACATAACCTAATATATCATAGAATAACCTTTAAATTCAGCATCACTTATAGATAACATCAAAGTTATATAAACACTAAATAAATTATATTGACTTCTAAGCCTAAAGACAATTAATTAATTGTAATATAGTACCTTTTAATTATTGACAACGATAGTCTTATATTGTGCTCTTTAATTAGATCGTATTCAATGTCCATATCTCATACACTACATCCACTTGTTTGCTTTAAGATCATTACCCAATATTAGAGTTAAAACATTCTATCCTTTTTAATAGAAGCGTAATGAGTGTAGGCTTTAAACATTTTGTCAAATTTAACTTAAAATAATTTTAACAAAAATGAAATTGAAAAATAATTTTAACAAAAATGAAATTGAAAAACCATAATTAAAAATTTGAATGTTTAATATAATAATTCCGGAGTACATATTAACTAGAAAAGGGATATTTTTTTATTGTGTAATTAAAATTTTGAATGAATATTTTATGTACTCAAAATATTAATTTAGTTCTTCCTCATAAAAAAATTAATTACAATTTAACATTTAATCATATTAAAAATACTTTCTTTTCCTATCCTCTAAATAAATTGTTATCTTAAAATTTTTCTATAATGGGCTTGTTTGGTCGGGAGAATAGTATGATTGGTATTTACATTAAAGAATAATCATTTTCAATAATGGTCATTCTTTAAAAATTGGGAATAATTAATATCGAATTTTTTAAAATTTAGAAATATTTAATTTTTATAAAAAGGCTTAAAATTACTGAAAATTGTATTTATAACCTTATGACAATTTGATTCATTCACAATCTTAGTAGCTGAAAATCTTTGAAACAAAATCAAATAAACCCTGACTAAATTATAACCTACCATTTCCATAATTTTCTGGCAATTTTTTGAAGGACTTATTTGAAAGAATATTAATAAAGACAGGCTCTGTATACAATTAAAAAAAAAGTATTAAGAGTCCTTGAAACGAAGCTTATCCTTAGTGAAGTGTCTCTCGACAAAATCCTTGGGGTCGTA